TATATATATATGATTTATTTGTTTATTTATTTGCCCCAATTTCTGTTTAATGGAGAGATTTTTTTCAACACATTTCTAAACATAATAGTTTTAATTACTTATTTCTGATAACATGATGACAGCAAATATTTTACCAGATATTTTTCAAGACACTTTTATACAGCTTAAAGTGACATTTAAAGGCTTAACTAGGTTAAGGTTAGGGTAATTAGGCGAGTTATTGTATAGCGATGGTGATCTAAAAAAATTATAGCTTAAATGGGCTAATATTTTTGTATATATATTATTTATATATATATTATTTTTTTAAATATATCCCAGATGATGTTTAACACCGCAAGGAAATTTTCACAGTATGTCTGCTAATATTTTTTCTTCTAGAGAATGTCTTATTTGTTTCATTTCACCAAGAATGAAAGTTAGTTTTAATTTTTTAGCCCCCCCCCCCCCCCCCCTTTTTTGATAGTTTACAGAACAAACCATTACTTTAAGCTGCATAGAAGTGTCTTGAAAAATATCAATAGTAAAATATTATTTACTGTCATCATGGCAAAGATAAAATGAGTAATTGAAATAAGTAAATGAGTTATTAAAACTATTATATTTAAAAATGTGTTGAAAAAAGTCTCTCTGTTAAACAAAAATTGGGGAAAAAAATAAACAAGGGGCTAATAATTCTGACACATACATTTATTTTAGCTGTTATATCAAAATGTAATTCTTTTACAACTAAAGTTTCCTGTAAAGATGATGCATTATGTAGTGATAATTGATTAAAACACTTCCATGACAGCACAATCTGATCTTTTTTGTAAAGCGAAACATGACATGACAAAACCCAGTTGCCTTTTTCACTTTACGTTTACACGTCTATATTTGAGTCAGCATGATCAGATTTGACTATACTATAGTGACTTATTTTTGTAATGACTATAAGCAATCAAGTATTAAAGGATGTGTTGTACATTTACAGAGAAGTGTTCACTGCATTTTAAAGAGTTAGTTCAACGGAGTCGTCATTTAAAAAAAAAAAAAAACTTATTTTAGATGAAATCCTGGAGGTCTCTCATCCTTAATACATGATAAAATATAGTTTAAAAAAAAGAACAGTCAGATTCTACAGTAAAATAATGTTGTTTTTTTGTATTGTGTATATCAATGTACTCCATGTATTTTTACATCAACATACTGTAAAATAAAAGTACACTTCTGGCAACTGCAGCTGCCGACATTTTACAGTTAATTTACAGAGCAACAGCAAGATGCTGTTAATTTAACAGTAACTTGCTGACAACCATGCTGTCAGTAACTTGCTGTTTTTTAACGGGACAATTTTTAACAGTGTAAACAGCAATGGACATGAGATGTGTAAATCAAAAACATTATGGAATATAGAGCAGCACTGTCGTCTCACAGCAAGAAGGTTGCTAGTTCAAGTCCTGGTTGGGCCAGTGGCATTTCTGTGTTGAGTTTGCATGTTCACCTCATGTCGGTGTGGGTTTCCTCCGGGTGCTCCGGTTTCCCCCACAGTCCAAAGACATGCGCTATAGGTGAATTGGATGAATTAAATTGGCCATAGTGTACGAGTGTGTGTATGGGTATTTCAATGTAAATGGATTGAGGCTGGAAGGGTATCTGCTGTGTAGAAACATATGCCGGAATAGTTGGCGGTTCATTCTGCTGTGGCAACCCCTGATAAATAAGGGACTAAGCCGAAGGAAAATAAATGAATGAATTTTGGAATATTTTGAAATGTTTGGTTGGTTTTCTGAACTTACTGACTATTGCTGCATATGGAGGGTGAGAGAGGATTTCATCTAAAATATTTAACTTTGTGTTTAGAAGATTAAAAAAAGCTCCAAGAATTTTGAACAAAATGATGGCGAGTACACTGAAAAAACATATTTTTGTTGCTTGTTAAAACTACTCATCTTAAATGAGCTGAAACAACAAAAAATCTTTGAGTTTTTAGCGAGAAAACGTAATAGTTTTATGTTTAATCCACTTAAATTTGTAAAAACAATTAAGTTAACATTATAAACAAGAGACATTGGGACAAAGTTAAGGAAATGTGTGGAACCCAGCATGTTTTTACAGTCAAATAATAACATTTTAGTTTTAGTTTCGGATGAACTAATTCTTTAATGCTTACAGTAATGATACCCAGTACAATCTGGAACATCAACCATGTAAAAAAAAGTGTCAATGAAAGTGAGCCTTTATAATGATGGTACAAAAAATCTCACAGCAATTTTTAACTTTTTAAATTAAATGGCTAAATTTGTTTGATATCATTCGTATTATGTATGATTCGCTTATACCCCAATGGTTTAGGGGAGGGGTTTGGTGCCACACCTCCTTTTAAAAAATCATGTTTTCGTATGACTGAACGTAAACGTAAAATACTCATGCTCCCTAAGAGATCCGGCTGAAAAAATAAAATAAAATAAATAAATGAATAAATAAATATATATATATATATATATATATATATATATATATATATATATATATATATATATATATATATATTTTTTTTTTCAATCAAAGTCTGAATGCAAACACAAGACCATGCAAAACAGCTTTATATGAGTTAACATGACATGAACTTATGAACAAAACCTTCAGTGTCGAATACAGTCATTTGATATTCCATTAATTTCCAGTCTTTCTCCTGAAACTCACAGAAGATTCTTTATCTGCTACTAAAATGATGTCTAATGCATCAAATAACCTTCAGATATAACCAATTTTGCGAAAATGAGATTTACAGTAAAGCTGTGGATTTCATACCTCATGTGTTGGACTTTTGGGGATCGGTGACTTAAGGAAGACATGGTTGTTTTGGCAGGATCTGTGTAGTGTTGTGCCGTGGATTTTTTTTTATTCAGCAGTAAAATAATAAAACCTACAATAATTTGTGCAATTACAAATCATGCCACTTGGTGCTCAAATACAATTCACTGAAGTGCTAAAACACTGTAAAATGTGAAATATGACATACTAAAAATACAACTAACTGCCACTTTCATAGGTCTCTAGCTCACGTTGTACATTACGTAGTGTTTTTCATATTACAAGACATGAAACAGATTTGATAAAAAGCTCAGAATGTGGTACATTTGGTTGGCTTAAAGGGATAGTTCGTCCACAAATGAAATCCTGTCATTGTTTACTCGCCCTTCACTTGTTCCAAAACCTGTTTGACTTTCTTTGTTCCGAAGATTTTTAGAAAAATGTTGGAAAACTGTACACATTGATTTCTATAGTATCTGTTTTTCCCATTATAAAAGTCAATGGTTTTAGGTTTTTCTTCAAAATATTTCTTAGTGTTCAACAGAAGAAAGAAACTGTTTGTAACCACTTGAGAGTGCATACATTTATATTTTTTGGTGAACTATCCCTTTAGCTGTGAGAAATACTGTAAATAATCACTTACAATGACTTGCACAAGCCCCCCTTACATTAAAACAAACCAAAACCAATCTCTGAAATAGCATTGTACATATTTTATAGTCCTCAGTCTGCAAGTTATTTTTTTAGGACGACTAGAAAAATAAGACCAGCCCAAAAGAGCTTTGCGTTTCTGCATTGTTTAAAGCTTTAAGTCTGTCACTGGACGTAGCTCTTCAGAACACAAACACATGATCCAGAAATCAACAAACACCAATAATGACTCAATTCATCAAAGGCATGGAAACACTCGTGTTCACTACACTATCAGCAACACTAATATGTTGCTCTTCTGCTGAGAACAAGGTTTTACCGGCTCCTTGTCATCAAGGCACACACCCACGCATGTACACGGTCACACACACACGCACACACAAACATGTGCATGCAAACATACACACACACACGCGCACACACACACACACACACACGCACACACACGCACACACACACGCACACACACACGCAAACACACGCACAAACACACGCACACACACACGCAACGCACAAGCAACCACACATGTGCATGCACATACACGCAAGCACATGCACACACAAACATGCTGATACACAAATGTGCACAAAAACACATGCACGCACACACAGGCACACATACACACACACAAACAAACGTGGACACACAAACACATAAGCACCCACTCGTGCATATGCACACACATACGCGCACACACACTAATGCACATGTGTGCACGCACACACATATGAGCACACACAGGTATACACATGTGCACGCACACACATGCAAGCATGTGCACACACAAACACATACACACGCACGCAAACACACACACGTAAATGCATATGCACCCACTTGCGTGTATGTACACACACATGCACACAACAGGTGAACATACACACAAACATGCAATCACACACACACACACACACACACACACACAAATGTGCACACACAGACACGCAAACACATACACACAAAGACATACACATATGCACATATATGCAACCACTCGTGCGCATGTTTGTGCACACACACGCAAGCACATGCACAGACAAACACGTGGACACACAAACGCGCACGCATAATGCATAGGCGCACATACGCACAAAAAATCATGCAAACACACACAAATGTAGACACGCAAACACAGACATACACATGTCCACAAACGCACCCACTCTTGCCCATGCACACACACACACACACACACAAATGTGCCACATGCTCACAAACACGCAGTCACAATAAACGTGCACACATACACACGCCAACACACAGGTGCACATACGCAGACACGAAGACGCAAATACAAATGTGGACATGCAAACACAGACATACACGCATGTCCACAAACACACCCATTCATGCCTAAGCGCACACACACGCACAAACACGTACACACAAGCACATACATTCACTGTTACGCACACATTTACACGCACACACAGAAACACATAAACATCCAAACACACAAGCAAGCACACACAAATACGCACACACTTTCTGTTTGCTTGGCAATCAGGTGTTTGTTTAGCAGCTCTAACTTAAGAAGTGCAAAACATCTTCTACTGAAAACAAGGCTTTACTGGCTCTTCCTTGTCATCAAGACAAACACAAACACACACACACACACATACAATCATGCACACACGCTCACACTTTTCCTGTTTCCTTGGCAATCAGGTGTTTGTTTAGCAGCTCAAACTTAAGAAGTGCAAACGTGTGTGATGTGCATGAAAGAGAAGCGGCTCTCCCGCCCCAGTGCTCAGTGTTGAAGACAGACTCCTGAAGGTCTGCATTCAGCACTGGAGATGAAGCTTTAAGAGTGTTTTATGCTGTATTTTCCTTTCTGGAGCTGAGAGATGTAAATCTTGGATTTGCTGCCATCCAGACGTTTGTACCAAACCTCATCATGGTTTATGGTGGTTATTGTGGCACTGGAGAAAATAACAATAAAAAAAAAAAAAACAGGAAAAATAAATCAAAACCAAATATAAATCATGTTCTCGAAGACACTTGATATGATCATTTGACTACTTTTTAATGGCTTAAAATTAATGTTATATTTAGTCAAAAAATTTAAATTTTGAATTGCGATTTTTGTGCTTTTTATGGATTTATATAATTTTCCAATTTAATGAATGAATTTAATTTGACTTTTGAAATTATTCATAACATGCTGATTTGGTGCCCAAGAAATATTAATATTATTAATATGTAAAAGTTAAATTAATTATTGATTATATATATATATATATATATATATATATATATATATATATATATATATATATATATATATATATATATATTTATTTATTTATTTATTTATTTTTTTTTTTTTTTGTAAAGCTAATTATTATTTTTTTGTGGAAACCCTGTTGTTTTATGTTAGGATTCTTTGTAAATATTTAGCGTCTATTTGAAATACAAATAATTTGGAATAAAGTCACCTTTGATCAATTAACATACCCTTACAAAAAAAGTATGAATTTATTTTTATTTTCTTTATTTTGTTTTTTTTTTCTTCATGCATTTTGGATTTTTTAGGCAATTTTAAAGATAAATCACCCTAAAATACTGAAAAGCCAACGCATTACCTATACTATTAAACATGCATGCATGCACGCACGCACACGCACACACACACACACGCACGCACGCACACACCTGGTGGGAAATTCGTCCTTTCTGTTGATGCATATGGCCTGACCACGGCTGAACCATTTATTATCATAGAACAGACGTCCTTCTTCTGATCGAGCAACATGATGGTGTTTTTCTGCTTTCAGAGAAGCTGATACACACACACAGACACAGTTAACTCTTTCCAAACATCACTTAAAACAGAGCCTTTACTGTGTAATGGTACACAAAATGGTTCTGTAGGTATTAGTTTCCTTTGTCTTGGTTTGGTACATTTTTGCTTCTTTTCTTCATTATTAAACAGTGATTTACTGAACAAACTGTATCTGACATATATGATAATTTTTATTGAAATATATGACCGGTTTTGGGCTCCACTGTCACATATTACAAACAAAATATAATAATAATAAAATAATAATAATAATATATATATTATATTATATTATTTAATATATATATATATATATATATATATATATATATATATATATATATATATATATATATATATATACACAACAGTTCTGTCTGGTTCTCGAATCTGATTGATCGCCCACATACAGCCAGCAACAAGCAGACACTACAGTTTGACAAATATTACCGCTGTTAGACAACAAAATGTACTTTTAAGGCTTTTTAGTCGAGATTGTAGTTGTTTAGATTCCAACTATGCAGTTTATTTGCAAGAATAGTGTCTATTTTAAAATATTTACAATTTCTGATATTGATTGCGTTGCTTTTTACGAGGTTAATTATTGTGATATCCTGATTGCAACAGAGAAATACTGTAGACTGTAACACTGTAAGAAGACATCTCTGTAGTTGGATGGCATTTCATGTCATGTTCAGCCTTATAATCTTAAAGTGAAAAAATCAGCTCTTTTGTTATCCCTTTAGAGGTAGGCTATAGAGAATCATTCATACACTAGCTCTAAAGTGACGTTGGTGAATTAGTAACGGCTTCTGCTGTTTTGACGTCAGCTGCAGATGTGAATGAATGGCGGAAGAAAGTGGTTTCTAATAAAAAGGGGATTTTAGACTCTCTGTGTCTGATTTTCTTATTTATATACACGATTGTGCCGTCGAACTGTTGTATAAATGCAATATCACACTCGTAGCAGTGCGATATGGCTGTATATCAGCACTGGTGGGACGCTAAGGTGATCCCAGCCATATCGCACTACTACTCGTGTGATATTGCTCATATATATTTATATCCCCCCTGAGACCGCTTGTTTATTTTTTCCCCCAACTTCTGTTTAATCGAAGAAAATATTATCTTTTAAAACATTTTTAAACATAATACTTTTAATAATTCTTATAATGGATTTATTTTATCTTTGTCATGATGACAGTAAATATATAATTTTACTAAATATTTTTCAAGACACTTTTCTACAGCTTAAAGTGACATTTAAAGGCTTAACTGGGTAAATTAGTATAACTAGGCAGGTTAGGTAATTAGGAAAGTTATTGTATAACAGTAGACAGTCGAGAAAAAATATAGCTTAAAGGGGCTAATAATTTTGTGCCAAAAATGGTGTTCAGCCGAAATAAAACAAATAAGACTTTCTTCAGAAGAAAAAAATATTATCAGGCATACTGTGAAAATGTTCTTCCTCTGTTAAACATCATTGGAAAATATTTTAAAAAGAAGAAAAAAATTCAAAGGGGACTGAAAAATAATATAAATCATCTTTAAAGTTGCCCAAATTAAGTTCTTGTTCTATTTTTGATATATTTTTGGGAGAAAATTTTAATATATCTTCATAGAACTTGAATATATCTTCATAGAGCTTGACCTAATATTCTAACCTTGCATTCACACAGGGCTTCAACGTCAACGCTTGACAGAGGGCGTGTCTGAAGTTGGGGCTGACGGGATCGTCATAGCAGGGTTAGCTAATGAAGTTAATCTGCAATCGGCTACTGTCTGAGTTGGAGTATTTGCATAAAGCAATCTGATAGACTGATTAATCTGTTGGCACTTGAAAAGTTAAGAAAGTCCCAAATTCTGCAGAGAGCAACACCACTGAAGTGGTGGCGATGGATCCGCAATGCAGCTCGTCAACGCCTGCTGTCAGTGAATAGGAATGGGAGTGAGTAAAGGCTGATTTATACTTCTGCGTCAAACGCCGGTGTATGCTACGGCGCTGACGCGCTGATGCACAGCCCTTCGCCGTGGCGTCACTGACATGCACCTCTCAAAAAATGTAACTACACGTCGCAACAACGCGTAGCGCAAGCTCTGTGATTGGTCGGCTTGGTAGCGCTGACGAGTCTGGGTGGGACCGAGAGCCGCGCGAATGGCGCGAGCGATTGTTTACAAGTGTGGAGTCCCGTAAAGGAGCTCCGGATAGAAAGTTTTGTTTTGTGTTTACCTCATGGTTAAAGTTGTTGCACGACCGCTGGTTCCTGCCTCAAAATGAGTGAGTTTGAGTCATTTGTACAACCAGGAAGTGTTCAGGAAAAGCAAAACAGAAGTGAAGAAACTCGACACAGAGGAACATTTACACCTCACTGCCCACTAGCGTTTCGGAAGCGTTAATGCAGACCAACAGAGACAGCGCGCAGAAGTATAAATGCACAGCTGCGTGTGTTGCCTGCGCCGTGAGTTACGCCGTTCACTTGACGCAGAAGTATAAACCAGGCTTTAATGGGAAGCGTTGACGCTGACAACTTGTGTGAATGGGGTGTAATGATTATTTAGGTCAGGGATGTCAAACTCAATTGCTGAAGGGCCACAGCCCTGCACAGTTTAGTTCCAACCCTAATTGAACACACTTGATTGACTTGAAGGACTAATTGAGTTCTTCAGGCTTGTTTGAAACCTACAGGTAAGTGCGTTGGAGCAGGGTTGGAGCTAAAGTGTGCAGGCCTGCGGCCCTCCAGGAATTGAGTTTGACATCCTTGATTTAAATCTGTAAAATGTATTTATTAAATGTAATTTAATAAAATGTATATAATAAATGTATTTAATAAAATGTAGCTATTACAACTTAAGTTTTTTTGGTCCAAGGTGACATATTGTGCAATTATTAAGATAATGAATATGCTTTTCTTTCATGCTTAGAAAAACATTCAACATTTTTCTTACCATCTGCTTTTACTCTATGGGGACCCATCGAAGCCATAGCCTGTGAGGAATAAAAAAAAGTTTATCAATGATTAGTCAATTCCTAATAGACCACTTCATTCATATAATAAACAATTGAATAAATAAAATTAAACCTTTCTTATGGCAGTCCAGTCTTCAAGTATATCCAGGTCTTGCAACATGTAAACAATGTATGGTCGTTTTGTGGTTCAGGAAAATTGTGTCATTTCTATAGCGGAACATTTATAATATGAAAATACTGCAATTTAAGCTACTTCAGGGCTCTCTAGTTTTTACAGGAGCCACTCAAACATTTACAACAGCATCCCCACTGCCACACATGGTTTTCTGAAGTTTTGGCTTTTGGTTCAATTCTACTATTTAGTGGTGATTGACTAGCACAAATAGAAATTGTAATAGTTTTAGAATCTAATAAATTTATATCAAAAATAGAAATTGATATGTCCCCAAACACACATGAATCAACTCTTAAACCAATTAAATATGATTTTATACAGTTAATTTCAGCTGAGCTATTAACACATTGACAAATTGGAAAAAAAAAAAAACAAGTACATATGGCATTTTGTTTCATTTGTAGGAATACACAAGAAACCCATCATGCTTGTTTACATGTATTTTTTGAGGGCACAATGTTATTTTATATACTATAAAATAATTTAAAATTGCTATAAAAAGCAATTTAAAGACTTTAAAATAGGTTAAAAATAGGTTATTATGTTAAGCTAGGTAAGTCAGGTACATTTAATTAAGTCATTGGACAACAAAGGTTTGTTCTGCAGCCAAATAATTTCATGCAGGAGCGAACAACATCGAAGTTAACAATGATTTTTAAAATGTAAATGTTAACTGATTATTAATATAAAGTATTTGTTTTATACATTATATATTGTATTTAGATTTTGTGAATTAATTCAAATAAAACTAAACATTTTGTTGTTTCCTTTTTCTGATTGTTATTGTGCAAAACCACAAACTATTTAATTTATTGAGTTGCTGCTTAACGTGTCAATTTGTTTTATATATAAACAACCACCTCAAAACTTTTGTGTGATATATGGCGGTTTTTGTAAAATCTGCATGCTTCCAGGCATACTTTTAATTCACACTTGCAAGATATATATAGGCAGCTAGATAGATTTTGAAAAGGCACCTAATACTGTTTAGTAATTTGGCTATATTCTCCAACATTGACTTGAAGGCAAGTGTTTTTAACCAGGAATCATAAAATCAAAATGCTTAAGAATTATTCACCAAATTAATTAGATAAACGAGTGTGTTTGCATGTCCTTACAGCTAGACCATCAGCGGTGCAGTCAGGGCTATACGCATGTATACTCCGTATGCCTACTTTTTTTTTATAAGCTGTTAGGGTATTCTGAGAATCAATAATTGTGTATACCCTCACTTGTCACTTGTTTTGCTGATTAAACTTTCCTAATTTATGTGTATTCATGTCCCAACTGTATTCCAAATGTTTTTTTATTTTACAAGTTTCCTAGGGTTAAACAGTTGGGGTTTACCACAGCTTAATTTACTCAGCCAATCTCCGGGTCTGCCGGGGGCACTATTAGCTAAGCATAAATCATTGAATATATAATCACATTATTAGGATCTCGCTTTAAAATTAAAACATTTTTGAAAATATTTTTCCTTTTAAAATGGATAGTTCATCCCAAAAAATAAAATTTGTTATCATTTACTCAAACTTTTCTTGTTTCAAAACGGTTTGTCTTTTTCATTCTGTTGAACAGAAAAGAAGAAAGAATATTTTGAAGAAAGCTGGAAACCTGTAACCCTTGACTTACATAGTATTTGTTTTCCTTCTGTGGAAGTCAATAGTTACAGGTAGGCCCATACAGAATCTTTTCAGAAGTTTTTAGTAACGATACTCCCAAAGTCATTTCACGTAATCCACAGATTTTTAACAAAATTCTGCGCAGAAATGACAAAAATTATCAGCAGAATTTGTAGGGCCCTAGTTACAGGTAATATAAGTATAGTTAATGAATCAAAGAAACTTTGACTTTCGTCGTTTCTTTGCCTACTTGTAAGATTGGGTGGGTAATAGTACACCACCTTTTTTTAGTACCACACCACTGTAGACCATGTGGTTTACCCAGAAACTCCTTCCACAAAAAAATGATAATTTCTGATTTGCTGGCAGGTAGTGTTTACCCTGTTTAACCGGAGATGGTTATAAATTCAACAGAGGACTTCCCTCGCCCATTAGAAAATAGCAGGACAAGTTTCCAGTGAATGTTTGAGACTTGAGAGCATTGCTGCTTTAAAAAAGGATATCTGACACGACCACCGGTTTCTTCTTCTTTCCAGGACTGAGAGGATCCTTCTTTTTATTCTTCCTGGACTGCAGACCGTCATTCCACAGCTCTGGTGCAGGAACACATCAGTTCATTACTAGTGAATATTCACATATAAAGGAAAACTATTATGCAAAAATCCCTTTTATAAGAGATTTAAACGCAGTTGTGTGGCAACAGTGTGTGAATTAAGCCAGCCTCTAACATCAAAAATCCTATTTTTTATAATCACACTTCATAAAAACAGTCCGCAGAAACACTTTCTCTATCAGTATGTGTCATAAGAGGGGAAAAGCAAAGCCCATTAATGATGATCTCTCCCTCATTAGCATAGATAGCCCTGAGTAAGAGGCAGCCATCTATCATTGGGGGGCATTTACACCAGACATGCATGGGTAAATTGCACTATTCATGCATAATTAGACGCTTCAACATTTTGAGTTTACATTTAAAGCGTGAATTCACTCCAGTTTTGTTGCAAAATGGCTAACATGGATTTTGTTATGAGAGGAGCTGTGCTTTACGTGATACGGAAGGCAAAAAAACAGTGTGGAATCATTCAACACTATTTCTGGGACCATCAGATCCTTCAGAAGTGCACCCAGCTTGGTGAGTTTCACCAACTCCTCCAGGAGCTGTGCCTGGATGAAATCTGCTACTACCACTTAACTCAAGCGATTAAAGTGAATCACGTTATGTGCATCAAACGTCCAGTTTGCGACATGTCATTCACTCTAATAGCGTCATTTGCACCTCCTCATTCGCACAAACTGCACCACAGTTTGTTTACCGGATCTTTGTATAAACTTAACATGCAAATCCCTTGTGCTTAAAAATTAAGCCGCGTCTGGTATGAATATCTGAATTTTGGCACTAAACCTAATAAACATAACATCAACAACTAATGCTGCGTTTACACCTGCCTTATTTAGTTCGATTGAATCGCACTAGACTACGTTTTCCGTTTTGGTGCGGTTCGTTTGGGCAGGTGTGAAAGCAGCAATCGTACTCAAGTGCGCACCATAAGTGGACCAAATAAGCGTACCGAGACCTGCTTAAAGAGGTGGTCTCGGTACGCTTTCAAACGAACCCTGGAGCAGTTCGTTTGTGGTGAGAATATGATCCGTACTAAAACAGGTCCAACCGCAAAAAGTACTGCGCCTTTTGGACTAATCCAGCTGTCGTAGGCCGATGCACTATGCATTATGGGATATGGAGGAAAAATATTTGTCGACAACGCTTTACCAACAGAGTGAGACAGGGGAAAATATTACCTGATGGATTGTTGGTAATATTTCCGCAAGATGACCAAGTCGCAGTTTAGCTATATTAATTCACGCCTCCTCCTGAAGTGACGAGCGATGCATTACAACACTGTTTTCCAGCCGCAGCCGCACTTCATTCTCGAAATGTATAGTTCATCTGAAGCAGGCATACAATCAGTCAGCGCAGTCGTCCCTCCTGAGTAAAAGTGACATTTTGTGTCTGCCGGTTTTGTTTACTTGCGGGAGTTTATTGGCATTTTCCCGCATGTGAATTCTAACCACTTAATAAGTAGTTTAGGAAATATATTCAACAACATCTGGCCAATGAGAGATGTGGATTTTGTCAGATGACTGCATTTTGGTTTGTTTCAACTGGTTCGGACCAAAGCCAGCAGTGTGGTGTGAAAACGACCCAAAGACGGCACAAAATGCAACAATGTATCATTTAGTGCCCTTGGTCCGGACCAAATAAAGCGAACTACAGATGTGAAAGCACCCTAAGAGGCATGTTTAGTTTTAGAGTGCACAAATGAACAACGTAGTGTTCATCATAGACTACCTTCTTTAGAGCCGCTTATTTTGAGCTTTTCAATTTTTCACAAAGATAAGAGTCCTGTTTTAAATATGCTGCACAGGCGTTTGTAGCTCCGCCCTTTTTTGAAAAGTGGCTGGGTATAATCTGAATTCAAAGTAACATTCACCAAAATTATCTGTGGGGTATTTTGAGCTGAAACTTTACATAGAGACTTATTTTAGATGTTGTAAAAAGTGGCCTAATATGAGTCTGTACCTGAAGTGATATCTATACTGTGTCTGTCCTCCTCCAGCCGCCTGATCTTCTCCTCCAGCTCACTCTGAACCGTGTCAAAAAGCAGGAGCTTCTCACTCTGTGGAAAACACAAGAGTAATATGGAATATTTACATGGTATTTGGTTTGAAATTCAAAAGGTCTGTCAGTCACCTCTCATTACCTCCCAATGCTGGCTGGCTGCTTGCATCTCACATTCATATTTGTTTCTGACAGATTCCAAGCAGAGCTCACGATAAATACCTGGAAAAAACACCATGAGAAAAATCACACCACAAACTGAAGGTTGTAGGAAGATAAGATTTAATTCTATACTGTTGCTAAACATTTGCTTATAATAATGCTTTTATTTGTAAACATTCTATTATCTTTAATTATATTTATTTAGTATATTAATAATCAATTAATAGGTTCAGGATTGTATTTGAATCAGAAAAGATCCATTCAATGAAGTAAAAACATTTATAACATTAATTTGCACAAGTAAACATTCAGAAAGCACAAGAGCTACATACTTTTCAGACATTACTAATACTAATAAACATTCACACACCCCTAAAAATTCATTTAGCACAGTTAACTTAATTATTTCTCCATGTACCTCATGTAAAATTGAGCAGTCATCAGAAATATGTGAGAGATTTAAAAGGTTCTTTACTGAGAAGGTTGCTGATATTAGATCCTCTTTTGTTCCTCTCTGCCCTAATCCCTTTGTGGACTCTACAGTTTCTTCAGCTACCTTCTGTAATTTTGAACTGGTGTCTCCTTCTGAGTTAAGGGGTTTTGTGATTCAGACGAAATCTTCAACTTCGCTTTGTGATCCTATTTCCCCCAACCTTATAAAGGAGACTTTCAGCACAATAGGTTCTAGTATCAAAGCACTTATTAAATCCTGCCTAGTTTCGGGCACTGTGCCTGTGTTTTTAAAGCCTGCAATTGTCCAGCCATTGCCCAATGCCGATATTAATTGCTTATATAACTTCTGTCCTATCTCAAAACTTCCATTTCTGTCGAAAGTTCTAGAAAGAGCTTTCTCATCACAGCTACGGCCTTTTTTTAAATCTTCCCATGAACTTGAACCTTTATAGTCAGGTTTTACTATGCATCACAGTACTAATAATGCAGTTTTCATTTTACTGGATCTGAGCTCTGCTTTTGATACAGTCGATCATACCATGCTTCGGTCTCGTCTGGAACATTGGGTGGTCATAAAGAATTTAGCACTTTATTGGTTTCAGTCATATCTGAAATCCAGGGGCCTCAAGTACGAAGACTTGCGTGGAAATCTTACTAAAACATTGCGTACGCACAAAGCTGTAAATGTGCGTACGCAGAAAAAAATTCAGATGTATGGAACACTGCGTACGCCGAATCTCACGCATATTCTTTTGTACATCCGAATGAACGTGAAACTGAGTGCAACATGCACGAGCACAAAACCCCTCCCTGCCACCTCCCCCGTATGAATATGCTAATGACTATGCTAATGGCAAAACCCAACGAAAAAGCAATGGCAAAATTAAGCAAAAAGAGAAACTTTGAACAGAATGTGAAATGGAGGTGCTGCTTTCGGAGGTAGACCGGAGAAAAGCGGTGTTATTTGCAAGTTTGTTCTCCGGAATTAACAACAAAAGAAAAAAAAATAGAGAGGGAGAGTTTAGCTGATGCGGTTAACACAGTTGGGTCTGAACATCGAGTGCATTAAAAAAAGAAATAGTGTGGTTTATATCTGTAAAATGTTGCAGCCCCCTCTGCTGTCTCAGTGGCGCACCTCGTAAGACGCATGTGATCATGTATTGACACGTTCGAGCATAAACTCGGCTCGAATCCAGCATCTGATGAACTCTTTCTTCTTTTTTCCCCCGCTACATATCAGATTTTGCCCACTATTTATCACGAGAAAGACAAATAGGAATCATCAATAAGTTTGTGCATCATATTTTATTTGCACATTTATTGAATGGAAATGTTTCTGATTCACGTATGCAAATTCATCTTCAGATAGTGTCTTTATAGCAATGTGCGTGCGGTAGATTGCTCAGATTACATTGGGAAAACAGGCGACTGCTGCAAATTGTGCTTTAATGTTTAGCTGGTCAACTGTATGGTATGAAAATCTTATATACCTGCTAGATGAACCCGTCTCATACAGCTGCCATTGCAAGTCTCAGACACTTTGTAGAGAGGAATTTAACACAACTGCCTCTAGGAGTCGCCAATGGAAATAAAACAGACACGCACAAAAAATGTGTGTACGCCAGCCAGAAAGCTGCCGTGAAGCTAATCACATTCCCACGTTCAGTTCATTGTTAGTAAATCCAAACGTGGGCGATTCTGAGCGTGAAACCTGGCGTACGCAAAGTTTTTGTGCGTACGCAGCGTTGATACATGAGGCCCCAGGTCTTTTTCAGTGTCTGTTGGTCAATTTATGTCAATATCTGCCCCTTTTCTGTGTGGTGTCCCCCAGGGTTCTATTCTGGGTCCAATGCTCTTCAAATTATATATGCTTCCTCTTGGTAATATTATAAGGAAACATAGCATCTCTTTTCAATTTTATGCAGATGATTCTCAGCTGTATGCTCCTTTAAAATCTCAGTACTCTCTGCAGTCTATAATTGATTGTCTTGAGGATATTAAATGTTAGATGGCAAAAAAACTTCCTTAAACTTAATAAGGTCAAAACTTAGGTTATTCTCTTCAGCCCCTTAAAAACAAGATTGTCTTTTATTGGGACTTTGGGAAGTCTACACCATATGTTAAATCTCAAGTAAAAAATCTAGGAGTTATCTTTGATTCTGAGCTTTGTCTATAAAAACAAACTAGCTGAGTGGTTAAGAATAGTTACAATCAGCAGAAGATCATCTCCAGACTCGAATCCATTCTTTCGTTTCAAGATCTGGAAAAAGTCATACATGCTTTTATCACGTCCCGTCTAAACTATTGCAATTCCTTATATATTGGTCTCCCTCAATCTTCATTGTTACAATTGCAGTTGGTTTCAACAGGCATCACAAAACATGCTTATATCTCACCAGTTTTAGCATCCCTTCGTTGGCTTCCTGTTATTTTACAATTTAGTTCAAGATTTTACTTATTGTTTTTAAAGAACTGAATGGGCTAGCACCTTCTTATATATTTGAACTTATTAACCTACAGTCAACTCCTTGATCCCTTAGGTCATAAAATAAAGTTTTACTGCAAATTCCTTGGTCACAACTTAAAATGAAATGAGATAGAGCCTTTGCTGCTCCACGTTTGTGAAACCAGCTACTGCCGGACATTACGAGTGCTTCTTCTCGCTCTATTTTTTAAGTCCAGACATAAGAAACATTGTTGATCTATTGCCTTTCCTGTCTTTTAATCTTTATTGTGCATTGTTGCTGTAATACTATTATTCTTATCATTACTTTTATAGTTATTTTACTGTTTTAGAATGGTTTTGTTCAGCACTTTGGTCAGTGCCGAACTGAAGTTAAATGTGCTTTATAAATAAACGTTACTTACTTTACTTGTTTTATTGAATTTTTTTAAAAGTAATAAACAATAATAAAAAATACTAATTACAAAGGATGAAATATTTTATATAAATGTTTCTTTTACATAAACATAATACAACTGTTTCATAACTTTTAATTATAATAAATATTTAAGCAGAAAATCATCATATTAGAGTAATTTCTGATGGATCATGGGCACCTCTCTGAACACTGGAGTAATTATGTTTAGAATTCAGCTTTGATAACACAGAAATAAAGTGAAATAAAGAAAACATTAGCATTTTACTGCATTATACCTTTACTTTATTAAAAGCATTAATGAGGACATATTCTAAACTTTAATTTATCTACATTATAAAAACAAAAATCTATTCCCCTTCCCTCAAGAAAACACAGAGGTAGATTTTAGGTAAACATACAAAACTATAACCTCAATAATAGATTTAAGAAAAATAATCCATCTGTGTATACCTGCCACTATACAAACATAATCCTCCTGACAGCCACAATAACCCAATGAAATATTTTGGATGGTACAACTAATTTACTCTTAATTTAAATGATCTTGAGAGCATCGTAAAAAGTAAACAATATTGTATTAAGAGCTTATGTCTGCAATAAATTTAAACTACAAAAGCATCTTTCAAGACTGTATTTACCCTACACAATGAAATCAGTTTGTTCACATGCATGTTTTTAGTTTTGATAGGATGCTATTATATTTTAAATTTTCAGCTGGATCAGACCTGCGACTTTGGTCCGGATCTGCATGTTCTCCTGCAGGGTGGCCAGCGGTTCCAGGTATTCTGCAGCACTCCCTGCCATCACTTCTTGCAGTTTAAGATCCATCTGAGTCACTCTCTCCTTGTACAAACTAAAGAGAGTGCACAACACATCAACATACTGTAAGTCTTTCGTCACATTAAATATTTAATAGTGTTAATAGTTTAAACCCTAATAAAGACTTAAAGAAGTGTTATTTTGACCAGGAAGACAAGCATACAAATAAAAAAACAACAACAAAAAAGTTAAACTTTGAGTGTTTTAACTTTTGTGTATTGTTCAAATTAACTACCTTTTCATTATGTTTGTGGCTGTTTTTGCCCCATTGTCTTTAGATATAACTACATTTTTTGACTGTAAAGCCTTGACATCAAATTATCATGCATTCTTAATTTGGTGGTTTCCCTTCCCCTGTTGGAATTAGGTCAAATTTGTCAGTTTACTGTTGATCATTACTGTTTGGCAGCATTTACCCTTTAGATATAGGTCTGTGCAAAAACGTTTCTCACTTTTCTATGCAGTTCTATGGAGTAAAACAGCAGATTATATTGCGTGTAGATGATTACTCTTACTGTTTACAATGTTTTTTTTTTTTTCACTTTATTTATAGAACTTTTTATTAAAACATAACACTCAATAGTGTTCATCATTTATATGTTATGATACCAACTAGAACATGCACCAAAACACTAGCAAGCAATACAGCAATAATGCTGCAATATCAAAAGAATTTCTGCCAGACTAAAGGAATATGAAACAAAATAGAATGACGTGTAAAAAGAAAGGAGAAAAAAATACAGGAAAAAAATAAAGAGTCTTTGCTGTTCTGGGAGCTGAGCAGGTTATTCTGATTTTATAAATAATCTATTTCATAATATTATGAATTAATATTTCATATTATGGTGTCATGGCTTTGCAAGTAAAAAAAATTGTCATTGTAATAGAAGTCAAGGAGGCAAAACATCCACGAACATAACGAAAGTGTAGTAAATTTCCCCAGAGTGTACTATTGAGTTTTTGTAAGCCTATTCCTAAAGTAAATGTCAAAACAATTTCTATTTGCTGAAACAGAGAAAGTTGTGAAACAAGTAAGACTCAAAAATCACCCTAGAGTAGTTGAAAACGTCCCCAACAGCACACAAGGGTTAAGATTGTAAGGAAATAATCTAAATCATATGCAGATTTTGTATGCATTATGATGTGCTCTTTTATACTGCCACATCACTTACTGATCCTTCAGGTCTGTGAACTGCTTCTCAAGATTTGTCATCTCGTCTAAACACTCCATTCGCCTTCTTTCACAGTCTTCATCATCCATATCTGCAAAAGCATCATCATCATGATCTTTCTATCACACACACACAAATATATAATATTGTATCTATAACGTTAACGTTAAGTTACCTGAAGTGTCTCCATCCTCAGACGCGGTCGAGCTCACCGAATCCTCCTCGTCGGAGCTGCTGGCCTCTTGTTCCGGATAATCCACGTCCATTTCTTCGTGGTTATTTTCTTTTCTATCGCGCGGGTGAACAGGCATCTTTTATTAAATATAAATCTGCAATCATGTAAACAACCCACTCTGTCGGAGACGACACCACCGGTGGCCAACCGGCGAAGAAGATTCACGTTTCAAACATGGATTCGCAGACGACCAATCATCGGGCTGCTAGACACGTGACATCTCCGAGACAGCGAATTCATTGGTCAGAGTATGTTTACATATTTCACGGTGGATGATGGGATCTGTAGTACTCCAAATACATTTCAGCGCGCACAGCTACACTTGTACACTACTCTTTCAAGCTTATTGTGAGTCATGATTTTTTAGATTTTATAAGGTGTACATTTATATAATATTTATAGAAATTCTAATCTTTCTTTTCTCTCTTCCCAAAAACTTATTTACCTTTTAGTCAACATAACACAAAACACAATTTTTTACATTTTGTGTATAAACAAATATTTTTTAGAGTGACAAAATGTGACCCTGAATATGAAATAATTATTTTG